TTAAATTTATTTATTTATGATAGACAGACAGAGAGAGAGAGAGAGAGAGAGAGAGAGAGGCAGAGACACAGGAGGAGGGAGAAGCAGGCTCCATGCAGGGAGCCTGATGTGGGACTCAATCCCGGGACTCCAGGATCACGCCCTGGGCCAAAGGCAGGCGCTAAACCACTGGGCCACCCAGGGATCCTCCCATTTACCTTTATTGAACTTAATCATAATATTGTCAGATTGCCATGATCTCACTAAAGGATTTCTATTGCTGTCAGTTACAACCCCAAATACATTTTTTATTCTTTCTACTGGGTGCATTGTCTGTTTTCTTTATAAATGCAGTACAACAAATTATTTAATAACCTAACCTAAAAAAAAAATCCAAGAAGTACGACTCCTGCTGAATGCATTCTTCACTTTCGCGCCGTCGCAGAAACGAAAACTCCTGCTGAATCACTAGAAGTTGGGAGCCGCCAGCCGGTAAACACGGTGTGTAAGTCACTATGTGACTTAAATTAAATTAAATTAAATTAAATTTTTTATTCATAGAGACACACACACACACACAGAGAGAGAGAGAGAGAGGGAGGGAGGGAGAGAGAGAGAGGCAGAGACCCAGGCAGAGGGAAAAGCAGGCTCCATGCAGGGAGCCCGACAGGGGACTCAATCCCAGGTCCCCAGGAACAGGCCCTGAGCTGAAGGCAGGTGCTAAACCACTGAGCCACCCAGGGATCCCCCGGGGGGAGGGTTTTTAAATTATGACTTTAATTTTATTTGCAGCTACAGACTGTTTAAGTGCTCTCTTTTGTATTAGTGAGCTGAGGTCTGTGTTTTTGGAGAACATGGTCCATTTGTCTAAGTTCTCAAAGTTACGTGTGCGCAGTGCTCCGTGTTATTACCCTTCCGACGTCTTTAGGGTCCGTAGTGATGCAGCGGTTCACTGACGGCTGGAGTCTGTGTCTTGTTTTTCGGTGTCAGTCTTGGCGAGGTTCATCCATTTTACCCAACTTTTCAAACAACTCACTCTTTTTGTTTTTAGTTTAATTGATTTCTGCTCTTTTGTTATTTTACTCTTGCTTTGGGTGTATTTTGCTTTTTCCTAGGTTCTTGAGGCAGGAGCTTAGATGACTAATCCGAAATTTTCTCTCACATTAAATATAGCCACTGTTTTGCAAATGTTTTCTCCTAGTCTGTAGCTTGTTTTCAGATTCTCTTGATTGAGAATTTTTTCTTTTCAGGGCACCTGGGGGGCTCAGTGAGTGAAGCATCTGCCGGTGGCTCAGGTCATGATCCTGGCGTCCTGGGATCAAGCCCCACATTGGGCTCCCTGCTCAGTGGGGAGTCTGTTTCTCCCTCTCCCTCTGTGCCTCCCCCTGCTCATGGGTGCTCTCTCTGTCTCTTAAATAAATAAATGAAATCCTTTTTAAAAAAGAACTTTTATTCAGTTTTAGAAATTTGACCATGATTTGTCTTTTTGCATTTCTGTGGGTTTGCCCATTTTGGGGGCTCATGTAACATCTGGAACATGTAAGGTTAGTTCTTTTACCAAGTTTGCCAACTTTTCAGCCATTATTTCTTTGAGTACCTCTTCAGCCCTGCCTACTTTCTACTCTCTTCCTGCCCTGAGCGCTAGATCTTTTGTGATAGGCCCACAGGTCCTTGAGGCTCTGCTACTTTTATTTTTTTCCCTCGGCAAATTTTCTGTTTTTCAGACTGGGCGATTTGTGCTGTTCCTGCCTGCTGTTGAGCCCATCCACTGAGCTTTTCATCTTTGTTATTGTGTTTTCTGGTTGTAAACTTTCCATTTGGTGTTTCTTTATAGGTCTTGTTTCTTTGCTGAGACTTTTTATTTACCAAGAGTTAGTTGTTGCTTTTCCTTTTGTTTCAAATGTTTTCATAATCACTTGGGGAAGCATTTTTATTGTGTCTGGTGTAGAATCTTGAGCTATTTCTCCCATTTTTCATTCCCATGTTCTCTTTCTCATTCAGTTTGAGATATTCTTGGTTCTTGGAATGATGAGTGATTTTCAGTTGAAACCTCGTCATTTTGAGTTTCATAAGACTAGATCTTATATAAACCTTCTGTTTTATCTGGGTTCCTGTCTCACTGCTCCAGAAGGAGGGAGGTTGAGGCCTCGTTGCTGCTAGGTGGAGGAGAAGTCTGGTTTTCACCCAGGCTCCACTGCTACCTGAGGTGTGTGTCTGTGGAGAGGGAGGTGGTTTCCTCATCACTGCCTGGTGGAGGTGGGAATACTCACTCCCTTGAGGCCACCTGGATACTCCCTGGTTGCTGGATGGTGACAAAACTCTGCACTGTCCACTAGGCTTTTCTGACAGCTCCTGGCAGGAAGAGGGAGGGATGCTCCATCACTGCATGGGGTGGTGATGGTGGTGGTGGGTGGGCATAGGGGTGGGTGGATGGTGGTCGTGGTGATAGTGGGGTTGGTGATTGTGGTGGGTGGTGGGTGGGCGAGTAAGTGTAGAGGTGGTGAGTAAAAGTCTCAGCCCCCTGTTTGGTCTCCACTGACACTGCCAGGGTGGGGGGCTCCTTATCTCAACCTGACAACAACTGAGGTCTTTGTTGACATGGCGGGGGGTGGGGATCATGGGATTTTCTGGGGGTGTTTAGCTGGAGTGGAATTACTATCTGAACGTTTTCCATCTTGTTAAGCTGCCCTTTTCCTGGTTTGGCCAGAGACAGCAGACTTGTTGGAGCATTTTTCATCTTGGCTCATTGGCGCTTCTGGGGTGTGTGCAGCAGAAGGGAACCCAGTGCATTTGCTCGGTGCGGCTCCTTGAGTCCTGAGTCTGCAACCCTTTGGCCTTCTCTGCACTTTTTCTAGTGTTGTTTCATAGACGACTCTCAGGGTATATAGTTATACACTGATTTGTTTTGAGGCAGGAACAGGGAAAGTAAGTATTTTCCATCTTCTGTTTTATTTTATAGGAGCACCACTGGGGGGCTGACCAAGGGGGTGGACACAAGGAGAACAAAACTCAGAACTATTATCAGTAATAAAATGCAACACTTGACAGGGTCTGCACCGGGCTCCGGGCGCTACGCCGAGCGGCGCACACTGGTGACTCGTCCCTGACGAGTGCGGATTATAACTGCTTCACGGGTGAGCAAGCTGAGGCTCCGGAAGATGACTTCCCCGAAGTTGTGGGTCTGCCGCACCGAGGGGAGGAGTTAGATTCGCACGAGGTCTGGTCCACCACACACTGTCCCATGACCCCGGGCATGTGGGCAGCACGTGTTGGGAACAGCAGGGTGACCCAGAGGAAGAGAAGAGGGTAAGCTGGAGATCGAGGCAAGATGTAGGAGCCCTTGCATTTCTGTGCAAAGGAGCAAGGCCTGCGGAGGCCTCGTTGGGGGACCCAGGGCAGGCACAGGGCATGGATCAGGGAGGAGGGTCTAAAGGGTCCCTGCTGCGCAGGAGAACAGGGGGCGCCCGGGTGGCTCAGGCGGTTGAACGGCTGCCTCTTGGTTTCAGCTCAGGGAGGCTGCCTCTTGGTTTCAGCTCAGGGATGTGGGATCGAGCCCCGAGTCGGGCTCTGTGCTCAGCACACGTCTGCTTGTCCCTCCCCAGCTCCCACGCTCACTTGCTCTTTCTCTGAAATAAATTTTTTCTTAAAAAAAGTTGGGATCCCTGGGTGGATCAGTAGTTGGGCATCTGCTTTCAGCCCAGGCTGTGATCCTGGAGTCCTGGGATCGAGTCCCACGTTGAGCTCCCTGCATGCAGTCTGCTTTTCCCTCTGCCTCTCTCTCTCTCTCTCTCTCTCTCTCTCTCTCTCTCTCTCTCTCTTTCTCTCTCTCGGTCTCTCATGAATAAATTTTTTTTTTTAAGATGAGAACGTGACTCTCACACTGACCTCTGATCAAAATCCCTTGTCAGGTAACCTTTCGTGTCATTTCAAAAATCCTAATAAGATAATCAGGCTTATTCTCTTTCTGTCTTTTCTAAAGACAAATGTTACATTAGGGGCTTTGAAGAAAACCTGTGTAATGTTTTGATAGACGCTTTGGGGTGTGATGGGTTAAATTCTGCTCAGTCTGTGGCTCCTTAATTTGAAACTGCCCTGTTCCTGAATCACGCTTAGTCATTCATTCAGGGCTGCTTCGGCCCATTAGACACCAGGCGTTTACACCGACGACGTCACCCACCTCCTTCAGGAGGTACAGAGGAGAAATAGAAAGATTCCAATCGAATTTTGTTCCAAAAGACTGGATAAGCCTGGCCAAAGTGGGGGAGTGTGCAAAGGATCAGACAAGAAGGTCCCAGTGAGCTCCGGGATAGCGTGGCTGCAGCAAAGCAGGGAAGCAGCAGGATCACCAAACCCAAGTCACAGAACGCCAATTCCATGGAGTGATCCGAGGGTAAAAGGGTTCCACGGTTTGTGACAACCACTAGGTTTCACCATTAATTTCTTTACTGCAGGCCTTTTCAGAGCCTTTAAAGCTTTCAGGTGCATTAGAAACAGCTAAGAGGGCACGTGGTGTGCAGGGTTCCCAGACCCACTTGTTTGCGGAGAGCCTCCCGCTCACCCACTCACACAATGTCTTCTTTCTTGGAAGTTTCCTGTGACTTCACACCTCTCACACAGTGATTATTTTACTTCCCGTCCCTCAGAGCACCTGTTCCCAACACCAGTTATAATGTGTGAGTTCTGGGACGGCCAAAGACTTAGGACCCGGATCTGAATCCCCTCCTGTGGATTCTTCTCTAGTTCCTCAAGGAGGGGCCTGATGTGCGCTTCTAGGGTTACCCGACAATGAAATGAGTATTTTCTATTTAAATCGAAACTTAGGAAGGCAAGGCCTTTTCTTAAAATCCTGACGTTTGTACCCCCAGCCCTCCCAAGCCTCCGCATGAATCAATGAACGAGTTCAGAAGCGGAAAGTGCAGGTATTTTATATATTTTCTGAAACCTGCGCTGGGTGGTGACCCGGTTCTGCAGGGCATAGGGGTGCCTGCCTCTGCCTCGCCCCGGCCCCAGGCGCCCCACTCTCAGCACCCCTGTGGCCCTGCCCCACGCGGGCCCTTGAGCGGCCTGTGCTCCAGGAGGCTGGTGGCCAGCGCGCGGGCCTGGTCCCTCCTCGAGGCCCAGGACAGCTTCTGGAACTCCTGGAAGGTGGTGTCGCTCTCCTGGGAGATCTGCTCCAGCCTCTGCTCCTTCCTCCTGACAGCCTCCTTGATGCCCTCCACGTGGCCCTTCTCCTCCTTCTTGGCTGTCAGCCTCAGGATGTGACAGAGCTCCTCCCGCGGGACGCTCAGCTCGGGGCTGTGCTGCCCCTTGTCCCTGGCGCTCCTGTGCTCTGGACTCCTGGGCAGCCACCTCTCCAGCTCAGCCAGCTGGGCCAGCAGCCGCTGGTGCGCCTGCGTCTGCACCTCGGTGGCTCCTGCGAGCGGCTGCACCTGCCTGAGCTGCTCCTGCGGCCTCTGTGGCCTCTGTGGCCCGGTCCTCGGCTCGTGCTGGCTGTCGAGGGGCCGTGGGCAGCTCTGCTCCAGGGACAGCTTCCTCAGCAGCTCCTCGGCCTTGGCCTGGCAGTCCAGGAGGACCCTCTGCGCCTGGTGGTTGACCAGCGAGCTGAGGCTGGTCTCCCGGGCCCTGGCCTGGGTCTCGGGGGCGGGCAGCTTCCCCGGACGGGCCTGCTCCCCGTCCTGCGGCCCGTCCTGCTCCCGCGGGCCCTGCACCGCCCCAGGGGGCTCCTGTGGTGGCGGCTCGAGGCTCTGCGACCCGGGTGCGGGCTGCGCCTCTGCGGTGGGGGCTCCCCCGGGGTGCCCGGGCCTGGCGCTGCCCCTGGGCTGGCCGGTCCGCCCGCGGCCCCGCGGCTCCTGCTGCGGCCACTGCGCCTGGCTCTCCCGGCTCTCCGGGCTCTCCGGGCTCTCCTGCAGCAGCCGCCCGCGCTGGCGGCCCAGGGTCGCCTGCACCCTGTGGCCCGAGCACTGGAGCTCCTCCCGGGCCGCCTGCCGCTGCAGCTCCCGCACGCGCCGGGCCCTCTGCAGCCGCGCCAGCACCACCGCCGCCCTCTGGTCCCCGGGCCGCGCCGCGGCCTCCTGCAGCGGGTCCCGCAGGCTCTGCGCACTCGGGGGGTCTGCGCGGGGCCCCGGGGACCAGTGCCCCGCGCCCCCCGCGCGCCCCGCCCACGGGTCCCCGCTCTGCGCCCGCTGCGCCCCGAGGCTCCCGGCGGGTGGGGGCAGGGGCGGGGGCGGGTCTCCCAGGGCCGGGGTGAGCTGCGGGGGCCCCCGGGGCTGCAGGCGGGGCGTGGGCGGGGGCCGGGGCCTCCTGGCGCGGGCGGGGGCCCTCGCGGCCACGTGGGTCAGGCTGCGGCTCTCCCGGGGCGAGTCGGGGCACCCCGCTTCCCGACGGGACCCCCGCAGAGGCGAGCGCGGGGAGCAGCGGCCCAGGCCCAGGCCCAGGCCCTCCATGCTGCGCCCTGTGCGCCCCGCGGGCCTCGGCCCCTCCCCGGCTCCACCCGGGCCTGTGACGCAGCGGCCACTTCACAAAAGGGGGGCCTGGCCTTGGGGCTGGGGGGGAGGGGGAGGGGCTGGCCTTGGGGGCTGCGGGGAGGGGGGGTGGGCTGGCCTTGGGGGCTGCCGGGAGAGGGGCTGGCCTTTGAGGACTGGGGGGGGCATGGGGGTCTGGCCTTCAGGGCCTGCGAGGGTAGGGGTGCTCAGGGCTGCGGAGGGTGAGGGTGGAGGGGCCTGGCCTTGGGGGGTTGCAGGGGGAGGGGGCTGGCCTTCGGGGTCTGCGGGGGTAGGAGGGCCTCTGGAGCTGCCCTGGGGAGGCCTGTCCTTAAGGGGCTGCTGGTGGGGGAAGGGGATTGGCCTGGGGGGGCTGCCGGGAGTGGGCCTGGCCTACAGGGTCTGCTCCGGGGGAACCGGGTACTGGGGGGGCACAGGTGCACCTGGAAGGAGCCCGCTGGAGGCAGACCCGCAGCGCAGACCTTGGGCATGGGGGAACAGGGGCCCAGCGGCGCCTCCGGGGTTTGCAGAGCTCCGGGTGGGCCCCTCCTGCGCTAGAGCAAGCCCACCCCTGTGTGTTTTATTTGCCTGTTTTCAACTGAAGTTAATATAGGGGTCTGCAGAAGTTTCTGCAGATTTCTCAGCTCAAGAAAAGAGTGGAATTAGAGCAGCTCTAAAGCAGGCTTCATGTGGAGCATCTCGGGGTGTCCCGCTGTCTGGGGTGCAGTGGGGAGGCTGGTCTGGGCCGCAGTCTCCGGGTACGGCCACCTGCAGAGGAGCAGGATGAGCAGGGGTCGTGCTGTCCCCTTCACCAGCATCTCCTGCCCACATCTCACCAACCCCGCCAGGCAGGGCCTATAGGATTGATAACAAGTCCTTAAGACAAACCTGAGACCCCGGAGGTCACCTGGCCCACAGCAGGGATTTTCAGACTCACCCCTTTGTCCACGTCAGCATGAGCCTCTCAGGACGTGTGCTTGGGGTTGGGGGTGCTATGTCCCTGACCTGAGAGCCCACCGCTCTCGGGCCCCACTCGTGGATCGAGGCCCGAACACCCCATGGGTTGGTCCTTGGGGGCCGGCCTTTGCGAGGTGCGTAGGGTCCTTTGCAGGATGAGGGTGGGGCCCCACGCTGGCATAGGTCTCAGACAGCAGAGCGTCCTCTGAGCCCGACCTCCAGAACTGTGACAAGCCCCCGGGGAGCCCACGGGGGCGGGGGGCAGCCCAACCGCAGTGGAGAAGCTGCTTCTGCCCTCGGCCTCTGCTGGTGCTGCTCACATCGTCGTTGGAAAAAGGAGTTTGTGACTGTGGGTTTTACCGGTAAAGCTTTGGAAAACCTGTGACATTTCCCCGCCTGGAAATACGGCCGTGGCCGGTACCGGGCCGCCTCCCATCACTGCAAAGGGGTGTTGGGGGGCGCAGCGCAGCAGGACACGGGGACACGGGGACACAGGCTGCCAGCGCTGCAGCCCAGGGTCGCCCTGAGTAGACGGCTCCGCGTCCAGCTCTGGTTGGTTCATCCTGTCGGGAGACGATCTGTGGGTTCCTCCAGCTGCGAACGTCACTGGGGCAAGGCGGCTGCATCCAGGAAACTGAAACCAACCCGGGTTAAGCGGTGAGCGTGCTCCCAGCAGCGCCGGGGCCCCAGGACTATCATTCCTGTTGTGCCCAGAGTGGTAAAACCAGGGCTTGGGGGCAGAACGGAGAGGGCCGGCTTGGAGCGGAGCCCGGGGACTCTGGTCCCCAGCTCAGGGCTCTCGGCCTTGGGCTCCCCCGGCGTCCTCAAAACTCCTCGAGGGCCGAGGGTGCTGGCCCGCGCCTGCCGCTTCCTGCAGAGAGGACGGCCCCAGCCCAGGACGGCACAGACGTCCGCCAGGCTAGGCGGGTCCCCTGGGGCTTGGCCCCCAGCACTGCAGGCGACAGACGTGGCCGGTGGTTCTGCGGTGACCCCGGTGGGGTCCCTGGAGGCAGGAGGGCGGGTTTGTCAGGCCCGTTACCTGGGTGGTTCCTAAAGAGGGTCTCAGGCGGGCATGGGCAGCAGAGCTGGGGGCAGCTGCCGTCCCTCCAGACGGCGAGGGGCAGAAGCTGGGGGGCCGCTCTGGAGCTGCAGGAAGCCCTGGCGCACGGGGGCCTGTGTGTGCCGTGCGAGGCTGGGGGCGCGTGTGCAGGGGTGTGGCGGGTGGGGCCCCCAGCGTCCAGGGCAAAGCTGCCCAGCAGGTGCAGGTGTGGGGGAGACCCGTGTCCCCAGCACAGCCCACGCTTACCCTGCTTCGTGTCTGGGGCTGCTGGTCATGCCTCCCCGAGGAGGACGGGGCTTGGGGTTCCCTGTGTGGGCCCAGGCATCCGTGCGGCGTGACCTGATCGGGCCTGTATTTCGAGACTCAGCCGGCAGCATTGTGGACAGTCAACTGGGGAGAAAGGTCGAGAGGAGATCCGTGCAGTAATCCGGTGGGGGGTCGCTAAGCCTGACGGTGGCCGGGGGAGAGGAGGCGGTGGACAGGCCAGGCCCTGGGGCCCGGGGGTGGTTCCGCCTGGAGAGGCCGTGATGCGCTCCGGGGAGGGGCCCTTGGGGGCACGGGAGCCCCACGACGCACAACAGCGGACGGACGGCCTGGGAAGGGCCGGACGGGATGGGGACGGGAGGCCTGTGGGGTCGGGCTGGCGGAGGCTTCAGACCCCAGGGCGCCGCAGAGGACGGCCCTGCCTGGGCGGGTGACGGGGCCCTGCGGGGGCTAAGGGGCCAGGCGGTCCCCGGACACTGCAGACAGGCGAGCTGGCTTCTGTGCGGCAGGAACGCCCTCGGCGCCGAACCTCCAGGTCCCCCGCAGGCCCCGGGATCTGGGCCTTCCGCCAAATAAAGGCCAGGGCCTCCTTTCCTCATTCGTTGGAGTTCTGGAAAACACGGCAGGTGTGCTCTGATTCCATGATCCCAATTCAGGATGAAACCGGAACGAGCTCGGCACCGCCCCCGGGAGTCCCGGAGCGCGGCCTTGGGGGTTTCTACAGAACTATCTGGATGCTTCCTTACGTCGGTGACGAGAGATGTGGATCGAAACTCCACTCTCAAAGTTGATTTCACGCGCTGCTCCTTCTCATGCGGCTGCTGGTCAGCTCAACATTTCCCGTATCTGTGACGCGTATCGCCGCACGTTTCTACCGAATTGGTTTGAGGTCACCTTTTCTAAGAAGATGATACTTGGGGTCCCGACTGTGTTTCTCAAAAAGTAAGCAAAAAAAAAAAAAAACCAGTGTTTCTCAACGGCTGGGCTACAGGGGACCTTATTAATTCTCCAAGTCTGGCCTCGGGGGCCCGCCGCATGACCTCCTCAGGTCACCTAGGAATACAGATGCCGCAGAGTGACAGCGTCCGTGAGCACCGCGTGCACGCCGCATGGGGCCATGCTTCGTTAAAAGTTTTGAAAAAGCCGGGAGTTTTTAACTTTCAGAGCAAACGTGTCTGTCACAAAGTTCGGCAGGACACGCAGGGAGCTCAGCTGCAGGGATCCAGGGGGGGGGACCCTCTGGGCGGGTCCAGCCTCGGTGCCCCTCGCCCGGCCACTCGCCCCTGGCTCTACCTGCCCGTGTCGCTAACTGGGCTGCCGTCTACACCAAGCGGCGCCCCCTCCTCAAGCCTTGGCTCCCGGGAAGCCGTCCCGGCCGCCCCGACCGGGGGACACCCCGTGCTGACCCATGACAGCGCCCACCCCACCTCAGGACTCCGGACCCACCGGGGGCCACCGCTGGGCGCCCCTGAGTGGATGTGACGTGGCCTCGGCCTGACGGCAGAGGGAGGATTGGGACCTGGTTCCCGCGCCTCGTGGACTCGGAGACAGCGGCCAACCAGCAGCACTTGCTAGAAGGGTGGCCCTGAAGCGTCGGGGGGCAAGGGACACACCAGGTCGGACAGGGGGGACGGGGGCGAGCGAGGCCCGTGTCCTCCGTGGGGCGTGCTCCGGCCGGCCTGTCGGGCGTCTCCAGGGCCTGGGTTCCTTGCGAGGTTCCGGCGAGGAGCCGGACCCGGGTTCAAGGGGCGACTCCACCGAGCTCGGGGTCGTCCCTGGGCAGCCCTGGCGCCCAGCTGCCCGGGGTGTGAAAGGCAAGAGGCCAGGAGGGAGGGAGCTGACGGGCGAAACCAAGTCAACGCTCAGGGAAGTGGCATTTTGACCATAACGCAGGAGGCCTGAAAGCCCCCTGCGCTCCCGCCTTGCTAAGGGGAGACCTCGGCGCGTCACCCGCCCTGGTGGCCGCCCAGCTTCCTGGGACCGGTGGGCCGAGCTGGCGCTTTGGGGTCGGGGCCGCTCCACCTGGCCGTCAGGAAGGCAGCCGCCCGGGCCATCGCTGCTCCGCAGCTGCGGCATCTGCGCGGACACACGGGGTCTCCTAAGGACCCGCCGCCCCTGCCAGGTCCCAGGCGCTGGCCCTGCCCGCGGACGTGACCCCGGGCTTCATGGGGGAGGAGCCCCCGCCCAGGATCCACGGCCAAGGAAAGGACCCAAGGCAAGAGGGCATGGGGGGCCTCGCTCTACGGAGGCCCCCCCAGCGCTGGACTCAGTCCCTGTCACCGCCCCGCGCTGGGCACTGCCTCTGGGTCCCTGTGCTGCCTCATTGCCCAGGGACAGCCCGCAGGCCCGGAGCGCTCCAGAACATTCCAGGTAGCCACGCGGGGAGCCCACGGCCTGACAGACTGTGACCTCCTCATGGTACCATAGTGGCCCCTTGAGTGCCCGCTGGCCGTGACCCTGCCCTGGGGCACCCCCCATGAGGCCTCCATCGCCCGCTGGCCGTGACCCTGCGCCGGGGACCCACCTGTGTGGCCTCCATCACCTGCTGGCCGTGACCCTGCCCTGGGGACCCACCTGTGTGGCCTCCATCACCCGCTGTCCGTGACCCTGCCCCCGGGACCCACCTGTGTGTCCTCCATCACCCGCTGACTGTGACCCTGCCCTGGAGACCCACCTGTGTGGCCTCCATCACCCGCTGACTGTGACCCTGCCCTGGAGACCCACCTGTGTGGCCTGCATCACCTGCTGGCCGTGACCCTGCCCTGGGGACCCACCTGTGTGGCCTCCATCACCCGCTGTCCGTGACCCTGCCCCCGGGACCCACCTGTGTGGCCTCCATCACCTGCTGACTGTGACCCTGCCCTGGAGACCCACCTGTGTGGCCTCCATCACCCGCTGGCTGTGACCCTGCCCCAGGGACCCACCTGTGTGGCCTCCATCACCTGCTGGCCATGACCCTGCCCCAGGGACACCCCCATGTGACCCTGTCTGATGCCCTCCACTTGGAGCTGACGTAACAGAGGTGCAGCCTCCGTCTGCCGAGCCTCAGCTGTCGCACCCTGACGTCTGTCCGTCTCAGGGGTGCCTGTGGTCTGTGCGGACGGGCTGCCCCCTCTGGTTCTTTCTGCTCAGGGGGTCGTGGGGAGAGAAGCTTCTGGACGAGGCGGAAGCCCAGCAGCCTGTGCCCGTCCCTGGCCAAGGGGTGCTTCCCTGAGGTCACCACCCTGCCCTGCCCGCCGGGCGCTGCATCCGTTCCACCAGCCCCCTTCTTGCTCCTTTCTCTCCGTCCCCGTCTGTCCTTGTGCCTTTCAAAGTGATTTTTGATCCCGCAGGGATGGGCGTTGGGCTCGCCGCGAACTATACAAACAAATGGGTTAAATTAAACCATGTAACGAATTGAAACCGCGGAGGCCCAGCGTAGGTTTCCTGGGACCGCTTGGTGACCAACGGCACCTGCTGTCACTGGCCGGGCCTGCCGTGCTTCACGGCCCACGGGCATTCCCATGACAGCTTAGGATGTCTTCCCGGGCCCAGCCCTGTCCTCTCCGTCAGGAGGGATGAGTTGCCAACGGACACCTGACGGGGCCCCGGGCTCAGCTGCAGGGGGACAAGCGGGGGGCACGGCTGGCCCCAGGACCCCACCGTCCGGCATGTCAGCAGTGGCAGGGTGAAGGCGCAGCTGGCATCGGTCCCTCGCCCGCGGCCCGCACCCTCTGGCCCCCGCCCACCCCCGACTCATCCTTCATATTTATTCTCCATCCGCGCGAGTCTGTTCGTTCCTCTCTCCGCGCGCGGCCGGCGCCCAGCCCGTGCCTTCCTCACCGGGAGCGTGAGCTCCCCGAGGGCGCGGGAGTTCTGTGTCGCGTTCGCCGACCGCAGGGCTCGTTCACGGTCGGTGCTCAGGTAATACCCCCGGAACGGAAGTGAAACTGGAGTGTTTTCAGGGGAGATGCAGTTAGTTTTGCAAAGTCCTCGCAGGTTGGCAGGGAGGGGCGGGGGGAGGCAGGGAGGACCCTGGTGGTGGAGGGAGGAGGGAGCGCTGGAGCCAGGCCCGGGCGACCGAGGACACCCCAGGGCTCTGTGCCCGCTGGTTTTGGAGATGACACCTGCACGAGAGGAAGGGCCACGGAGGACCCTTCCGCCACCGAGCGGTGTGTAAGGGATGCCCCCGCCCGCGTCCCACCTGCCCTGTCCTCTCCATCTCCTGAGAAGGGCACCCACGTAGCATCTGCAGGATAACGTGCGGTGGACCCACAAGCTGGGGGCGCTGGCGGCCCTCACTGGCTCTGCGCCCCGGAACCCGCGGATCCATCTTCCCGTCCTCATCATCCTGCCATGTGGGATGAGCGACATGCAGACGCCTCGTTATTGTCGTGAGATGCGGGCTGAACTGTGTCCTCTCGAGCTTGACACTGGGGCCCAGAGCCCCAGGCCTTCCCCATGTGAGTAGGTTTGGAGAGAGGTAATCACGGTCCAATGGGGTCATTAGGGTGGTGTCCTTGCAAGAGGACGTGGAGGGATGGAGGGGGACACACGGAGGAAGCACCCAGGCCACCGGGGGGAGATGAGAAGAGGCCTCGGAGGAAGCCAGAGCTGCTGACACCTTGAGCTCCAGCGCCCCGACTCACGCCGAGAAAGTAGGTCGTGTCGCACCCGCCTGCGCAGCTGGGTGTGGTGGGGGCTGGCCCAGGGGACGGGCCCAGGAGATGCTGTGGTGTACTGTGGGGGCCGCCCCCACATTTGTCCTCCTGAGATCCATTCAGAGAAGCAAATAATTCAGAGTAACTGGTCAGTCCCGTCATGTGCCAGCCAGAAACGGGGACACTGGGCTGCGTCCAGACACAGGCCACGTGGTGGGTGAGGAGTCCAGGGGCCGTGCGGTGGGCTGCGGCCGCTTCTGCCCACAGAGGGGACCCATCCCCAGCCGGAGTGCAGACGTGTGTCCCACTACCGGGAAGACACGTGCGCCGTCAGCAAATAGCTTTCAGCTTGGTGGATGTGGCGGCGAGCAGAAAGGCTTGTAAATTGAGAAAATAAAAAATGAAGTAAGTATTCAAACCGCAGAGGTCGGTCACAGGACCTCGGAAATGTGGGGGGGCCCGTGGGACTCTGAAGCCCCCAGAGGAGGAGCTCATGCCAGCCCGGCCTCAAGCCCGCCCGGTGCAGGGTGGCCACCACCTCTGGTTGACGAAGCAGAAACAAATACAAACAGTAAAAGTCAACCTGTCCCGACAGAATTCATGAAGATGGTTCCCGGTGACACGACACAGGAACAACTGTCATGTCCCGACGACCATTGGTCAGCGCGGGAGATTTCAAGAAAGCCGATGGGAGGCAGCGGTGATTTGGTAGCGGTGTCAGACGCAGGGTTCTGGGTGAAGGAATCGGGCGGAATAATGGGGCGCCACCCGATGTGAGCACTGCCTGCGGCAGCACCTCCAGTCCGCCCCTCCCGGGGGGCAGCGGGGGCAGCCGGCGGCCGAGCAGGGGGTGCAGGGAGGACGGGAGCCAACACCCCGGCTGCCTCGGGGCGCACCCACCTGTCCAGGCCTCCCCTCTCTGGGTCCCCCCTCCTGCAGGTGCACAGACTGTCCCCTTCCCCCCCACCCTGTGGGACGGTGACCCCTGGGGTGTGCCCACCTCTACAGGCCTCTCATCTCCTGGTCTCCCCTCCTGCAGGTACATGGACCGCCCCCATCACCCCCACTCTGCGGGACGGTGACCCCCTGGGGGGCACCCACCTCTCCAGGCCCCCCCTCTCCGGGTCCCCCCTCCTGCAGGTGCACCAACTGCCCCCCTTACCCCCCTGTTGGCGACCCCTGGGGGGCACCCACCTCTCCAGGCCTCCCATCTCCAGGTCCTGCAGGTGAACAGACCGCCCCCTCCCCCCGGACAGCGACCCCCTGGGGCGCACCCACCTCTCCAGGCCCTCCCTCTCCGGGTCCCCTTCCTGCAGGTGCACGGACCGCCCTCCCCCCCACAGATGGCGACCCCCTGGGGCGCACCCACCTCTCTAGGCCTCCCATCTCCAGGTCCTGCAGGTGCACGGACCGCCCACCTCCCCCCCCCGACAGCGACCCCTGGGGGCACCCACCTCTCCAGGCCCCCCTCTCCGAAGGGCCCAGGCGGGGCGCGGGGAGGCGCGGGCCCGTGGGTCCCGGCCGGGTGGCTCAGGCCGCGGGGCCGGCAGGTGCAGGCGCGCGGGCTTCCCATTGGTCCCCGCGCCGCCCCGCCCCCGCGCGCCCCCGCCCCGCGCGGCCCCGTCCTCGGCGTCGCGCTCGCGGGCCCAGGTGTCGGGCGCGCGTCGGGCCCGCGTCCCCGCCCCCCGCGCCCCAGCGCCCGGGGAGCCGAGGGGGGCGGGCGCCGAGGCTGGTCGCGCCCAGATGCGGGTCGGGGCGGCGCGGGGCGGCGGCGGCAGGTGAGCGCGGGCCCGAGGGGCGGGAGCCGGCGCCAGCTGCCCGGGGTCACGCGGGGCGGGGGAAGTGCGGGGCCCGGTCCCCCGCGGCCCGGCCGGCCGCCCCTCCGCTGTCCGCGGCCTGCCTCGGGCCGCGCGTGCCTGGGTGCGCGGAGGCGGGGGGCGGGGGCGCGGGCCGGGAGGGGGCGCGGGGGGCGCGCAGAGGGGCGGCCGCGAGGCCCCGAGGCCCGGGCACCGCCGCGTCCCCCCCCCCCCCCCGCCCCGTTGCAGGCGCCTGCGAGCCGGATGCGGCGCGTGCAGGAAAGATGCATCCTGGAACGACCCCGAGCGCGGGCGCAGGACTCCGGGAGCCGCCGCCGCCGCCCCCCCGCAGGCTGCTGGCCGCCGTCCTGTGGATCCAGCTGGCGCTGTGCTTCGGGCCCGCACAGCTCACGGGCGGTGAGTGACCGGCCCCCGCCCCCGCCCGGGACCCCAGCCCCGCAGGCCGCGCGCACGCACCTGCGCGGGGCCCCACCTGGGCCGGGGGCCGGGGCGGGGGAAGGGCTGCTGCGGCGCGCGGGGCCTCTGCCCGGGTGCGCCCTCCTCCGCGGACGCGCGCGGCCGCCCGGGGCCCCTGGCGAGCCTCCCGGGGCTGCGCGCAGGCCCCTGGCCGGGGGACGGCTCCGGGGAAGTTAACTTTCCGCCTCCTTGGGCAGGAGGGGGGTGTTCCCGCAGGTGTGCGTGTGCAGGGGCACGGGGCGGTGCTGGCAGGTGTCCCCGGGCCTGACCCCCGGTGCGCAGCGGGGAAGTCAGTGCGCGGCGGTGACGGGGAAGCAGGTGCAAGCAGCCCCGTCTGAGGCGGTGGCTCGTCCTGGCGTCCTGGGTGCTGGGGGGAGGCCCCGGACGGAGCCCCCGCTGCCTGCGCCCTGGAGCTCGCTGGCGCGGACCTGCGGGAGCGCAGACTCGCCTTGCAGAGCTGAACTCCTGTCCACGTATACATAAATGATAATCGGTGGAAAGCAGGTATTGATGGATGTAAATAAACCATTTCCTGTTTTAAGATGTTGCCGTTCTAGAGGGAAGGCGCGGAAGGAAAGACCCAAGGGAGGCGTTAGTGGTCATAGCGGAGGGAAGACAGGTTGGGCTCCCACGCAGGGTCAGGGCCGGGCACCTGGATGGGGCATCCGGGCCCAGGCGAGGGTAAGGCGCCGTCTGGGACACGCCGCAGAATTAGCAAGGGGACACTTGCTTCGCCGTAGGGACGCCGTTTGGCCTTTGTTGGTTTTCTAACAAGGGGTGACGTGTTAATGCTCTTATTTTTATAGGAACATGTGTGAGGTGGGCGGCCTGGCGCGGCGTGCGGAGCTGTGGTCACGGCCTCTGCGGGGCCCGCGCCGACCTCTGCTCCTCAGCTGGGTGGGCACAGGTGGGCAGGAGACTGCCGGGTGGGGCTGCGTCTCCCCCTTCCTTCTTTGCTCCCCCTGCCCCCGCCCCCTGCCCCCCGTTCTCGCTTTGAGCCCTCAAAACAGGTCCCTGCACCCCTGGGCCGAACCAGGTCCATGCTCTCCGTGCACCCCCGGGCTGTTTCTCCCGTGCAGGCGCCAGCCGTCGGGGTTCACCTGCGGGGCTCTGGCCGCTGTCACTGGGAGTGTGAGCTTCTCAGCTGGGCTGTGCGTCTGGTTCTGCTGCTCCTGCTCACAGAGCCCGCCCTCAAGGACCTCAGAGCCCCTTGCGCTCATGTCGTCCTTCACCCTGCTCTTCGGAGAGAGGGAGGAGACCTGAGCACAAGCATCCGGAGCCTTGAAGGCCAAGGAGGAAGGGAGGGTTGCCCGGGACCCCTGGGCTCAGGGCTGTTCCTTCTCAGGTGCCCACATTGCAGAAAGTCTCCCAGCACCTGGGTTTCACGTCTTCGAACTCCTTCCGGCCGCGAGGGTGGTTGCAGGGAGCGTCTATCACTTCCGGATTGCTCTGTGCTTGGACACTTTGGGTGGAGGGGGCGGTAGGGACGCTCTGTGAGGACACTACAGGGCGGGGACTCGCATGCAGGCTCCGGGATGGACGGCAATGCCAGCAAGTCCCTTGGTCCAAGAGCCGTGCATCTAAGGCTTCGATGTGCCGACCGTCCCCTGGGATCTCAGGGAAAGGCAGGTTCTGCTCCAGCTGCTCTGGGGCGGGGGGCGGAAGATTGCACGTCTCCCACACGCTCCTGGGGGATGCGTCACTCATGGTTCAAGGACCACGCTGAGGCATCCTTAAACACGTTGTTTCTGACCCCAGACTCGCTCCCAGGTACCAAATGCAAGGGCCTGGTGAGGGGGCAGGGGAGGACCAGAGGCCTCATAATCTTCCCATGAGGCACAAACCTGAAAAACAGCCCTCTCAGAGTGCTTTCCTTTTTTTTTTTCTTTTTGGTTCACCAAAAAGGTGCATGTGTAATAGATGCTGTTGTAAAATGTGCATTTTCATTTTTGATTGCTTTCGGTGGAAAAAGAAAACCAGCACAGTAGTAAGAGATAATCTGAGCTAAGAGGAAAAAAAAAAAAGTACGTGTCCAATGCAAGTATTACAGGAAAAGCCCAAACTAGAAAGGGAGAAATTGAGAGCGTTCGACCAAGGGGGGGAAGAAGTCCGTCAGAAAGGAGGAGCTCTGGCCTAGAAAGGGAGACCGAGGAGGGAACGCGTGGGGCTGAGCGGGCTCGAGGTGACTCCCGGGTGGCTTTCCAGGGTGTCTTTTGTAAGTTAGGGCAAAGGGCCCGCGTCTGGCGCCCCAAGACCCAATGCCCGTAGAGGACTAACAGCGGTTTACAGGGACGTTCGGCCGTGCTGTCCCCAGGGTCCGCGTGGAGCGTGCAGCGGGGCCTGGGCTGCTCCTCTCCCTCCGGGGACGCGTGGGCTGTTTGCCTGGAGGGAAGGGGGCTCCGGGTTTTCCCTGCAAAGTCAGGCCCGGAGATTCACCGGCACAGCCCGGTGGGGTCCGGAACGCAGGCCAGGCCCTGGCTCTGCGGCTCCAGGCCTTGGGGCTTCGGCCCTCGGAAGCCTGGTGGCCTCACCTGTAAACGGGGATGCTGCTGCTTGACTCCAGGGGTTGGTGTGCGGCCGGAAACCGTGGAGGCGCTCAGTGGGCTACCGGGAATGAGGCGGCACAGACTGTTGGGCTGTCCAGGCCTTTGCTGTCTCCGTTCAGTAAATAACTGGGAGCCGTCCACACCCTGTGCCGAACACCTGCCAGGCCCTGTGGTGTCCAACGTTCTCTTACCTACAAGGACGCTCTCTTATTCTCTCTTATTTGTCCAGGGAACAAATTTACTTCAAAACACCCAGAAGTGGCAACTTTCACGTTGTGGGAAAGCTTTCACGTTTCCCTGGCCACCGCGTCAGCCCTCCCTGTAGAGCAGTGTCACCCACTGGCCCGCAAGGCCCCGAAGGCAGGACCTGGGTTTATTCACCTGGGTCCCCGGCGCTCAGCACAGCGTCCCACACACAGGCAAGGCCCAGCTGATGCTGACCGGCGGCTGGAAGGAGCCCCGAGTTACTGCCACGCTGTTGAGGAAATAATGACTCCGGGCGATCGCAAAGGTGCCAGAGTTTCAGGGCTGTTGAGACCACTTCTGTTTGGTGGTGGCCTAAGTGGTTGGAGGAGAATTCAGGAAAGGTTCTAGAGCAAAAGGGCTGTTAGGCTGGGAGCTGACGGCCGGGTGTTGGGGCAAAGCAAGGAGGGGAGACACCGTGTGCAAAGTATGGAGGTGGTCATGAGGTCGTCTGTGTGGGTGGGTGGCAGGGCTGACCTAGAGCAGGACACCCGGGGGGTCGGGAGAAGGGCTGACCTAGAACAGCACACCTGGGAGAGGTCCAGAGAGCAAGGCTGACCTAAAACAGGACATGTGGGGGGTCAGGAGAGGGAGTCTGACCTAGAACAGCACCTCTGGGGGGGGTCAGAAGAGTGGGGCTGACCTAGAACAGCACATGTAGGGGGGGGTCAGAAAGTGGGGCTGACCTAGAACAGCACACCTGGGGGAGGTCCAGAGAGTAAGGCTGACCTAAAACAGGACATGTGGGGGGTCAGGAGAGGGGGACTGACCTAGAACAGCACCTCTGGGGGGGGGGTCAGAAGAGTGGGGCTGACCTAGAACAGCACATGTAGGGGGGGGTCAGAAAGTGGGGCTGACCTAGAACAGCACACCTGAGGGAGGTCCAGAGAGCAGGGCTGACCTAAAACAGGACACGTGGGGGGTCAGGAGAGGGGGACTGACCTAGAATAGCATACCTGGGGGGTCGGGAGAGCAGGCTGATCTAGAACAGCACCTCTGGGGGGGTTAGGAGAGCAGGGCTGACCTAGAACAGCACATGCAGGGGGTTTGGGAGGGGGTGCTGACCTAGAACAGGACACGTGGGGGGGTCAGGAGAGCAGGGCTGACCTAGAACAGGACACCTGGGAGGGTCGGGAGGGGGGGCTGACCGAGAACAGGACACCTGGGAGGGTCGGGAGGGGGGCTAACCTAGAACGGCACACCTGGGGAGGTCCAGAGAGCGGGGCTGACCTAGAGCCACACACCCGGCGGAGCCACTCGAGTTAGGGGACTAATAGGCTGGCCCCCTCTGCTTCGGGTCCTTGGCAGCTGGTGAGGATTCCGAGGGTGGGCTGCAGGCCTGAGGACTTGTTCCGGGGCGCCCGGGGTACCCGACTCCTCCGAGCCCCGTCAGTTCCCGTTGGTGCCTGCAGACCTGCCCTTGGCCCCCTCGGCCCTGCCCCCATGTCAGGGCGCACCTGTGCGCCAGACACACAGCCCCTGGAGGTGTCGTTGTGGCCACGGCACTGGGCTGTGCATCCGCCAGGGGTCTCCGGCCTCGATCGGCTCGCCGGTTCCGAGCCACCTGTCTCTCGGTCTTATCGAGAGTGTTCTTACCTGGTGCAGTGGGAGCTCTTCATGCCGCGTGACGTCTAAAAGTCACCATGTCACGCTGCACCTAGACCGTAAACGAAAATCCCAACTTCTCAAACTACAAACGACATCTTTTCAGCAAAAGGCCACCTGAATACGTGTGAGCAGCACGGAAAGTGTTTGATTTATCCACAAGGTGGAATCTGAGCGCTCCAGAGGCCCGCGGAGGATTTCTTACAGAGGCCGCCCGTCTCGGCTGCCAGAGGCCCGAGCGCCGAGGTGGAGGGAGGCCGTGGTCCTGTGACTCTGGGGTGCTGGACGGGGCAGGGCAAGATCTCTGTCCGGTAAATGTTGACTGGATACGTGCAGAGGAGCATCCGCAGCCTGTGCTTCGGCATCGAGGCATAGTTCAAAAGCCTCCGAAGGCCTGGAGACCTGCCCTCAGCCGGGGAGCTCCACGGCAGACGCGGCCGGCGATCCTCAGGGGTGACGGGCCAGGCTCAGTCCCTGCTTGGCTGGCCCCGTGGCTTTGGGCAGGCGCAAGCCAGGCCCCTGGTCCCGTCCTCCCCACGCCGCCGG